AGCCCAGCTTCTGTGGCGTGTTAGCACCGGAGCCACTAAAACACTTCTGACGTTTGTTTTCATGTCTCAGTAAATACAACTCTCAGAGCTGTGATGATAGGATTGACAAGCTGTAGGTAGTTTGAGAGTTTGGGGGTTTATCCGAGCTAACTTGTAAATGTTAGTGTTTTGCATGAAACATAATACAGGCTCATTTTACACTGCCAAACATCCCATCATAGAATCGTTACATCCACTGAGGAAATCCAAACATTGTTGTATGTTGAAGGTGTGGAGCACAAAGCAAGGTTGACTTCGCTGTGAGGCACTGGGTTTAATCAAATCAAACCTTACAAGCCCACATCTGTTTCCCAGCCGCCTTTAAAAACCAGTACTGTGGTCCTTTTTACAGCCTATAATCTAATACACAGATGATTACTTTAAAGGGTCAGTTCATCCAAAATATGAGGGAAAAAACACTTTTTCCAAAAACAACCTCTAGTGGAATTTATAGTGAGATAGTTTTGGTTTTATTTGTCCAAGTTTTGAGATTTCTGTTTCAACACTAACATAATTGAGGTGAACAGCTTTTGGTTTGTGGTGCTCACAACAGTAGAAAATTCCATTTTAACAATTCGTCAGCAAACAACGTCCTGGTTACCCTGGATAACAGATGAATTGTGCTGTCGATGATTCCTTGGCCAAAACGATTTCTTTTCTCCAAAATTTTTCACACTGTAACCATGTACACATGGACTGAAGTGATACTTTTTTTGCATCTTTTTTGTCAGTGTTCAGGAGGCTTTTTTTGTAAAACGGGATTGCTGCTTCACACCTGACACTACAGTCTCTTCTTAAAAGCCAGAATTCAAGAGCACACACTTTTTCATAATTCTTTTACTTTGAATAATCCAAACTGTCAACTCTTTAGGGACTGTTTCTGTGTAGCTACATTGAAACCTGTTCAGGAATGTTGCTGATAAGTCTTTTAAAATATAATTTTTTTAATGATCTGAGCATCACAAACTGAAATTGACCTTCATTAGGGTGGCAACAGAAATCTCTGGACCAAGTATCTCAAAACCTGTGGCAAATTAGCTCAAAACTACTTGTACAGCAAAAAATGTTATGAAATAGGTATATTATTATTTCCATAATTAAGCAGCACAAAATACACAAGAACAAAACAAAAAAAACCCCTGCTGTCTGTCTTCATGACTGTTAACATTTCACTGGTTTTTGTGCTGTTACTTGGGCCAACAAAACAATTGAGAAAAAAACAGTTTGTATGAAAAAAAAGGAGATTTCTCAACATATCCTCACACAATAGTTTGTATGATATCTAACTAATTAGCACCCCATGAATAGTGCTATCACATCATGTACTTAACATAAAGTTATGTACTTAAAGTTACGTAGGTTATGTTAACGCCTTGACACACCAAGCTAATGGTCAGTTGTCAGTCAAATTTAGACCTCTCACTGGCCTTTTTGGGACTTTTTTCTCAGTCAGTTCAGCATATTGAACCAGCATTGGACACGGCAGAGCCCAATGGTGAATAAAATCACTCTGATTGGCAGTTCAGGTCAGCACAGGAGAAGAGTACAGACGTGAGGAAAGCAAACAAACAGCTAAAGTCAAGAGGGAGTGAGACCAAAACAAACTTATTACATAAGGTAAGATTATTTTTCTTTAGCAGAAACATTTCCTGATGGTTTGTGTATTGTTCACTGGCACACAGTAAATATGTTCTGTTCCTTATACACTGTGTTGTTAATGTGCTAACTGGCTAACTAGCATCAGGTGGGTCTCCTGGTTTCCCTTTTTGAATGATGAACTCAGACTACTGCTGACAGCTGATGTGAACAGATATTTCCTCACATGCAGGTGCAACAGGTGAAGTGAAATGACACAACAGTCGGCTTTTGTCGCCGCTAGTTCTTTGATGTTAGTTTGGTGTGTCTGGGCCTATGGTGGCGACATGATGAACCGCAAAATAACTCAGAGGTCACTTGGTTTCACACAGGACACAATCACTCACAATCACAATCCTGGGGGGAAGTCGTGTTTCTTTGACCATCCAATACCTTAAAACCTGCCTCTTTACATGGAGTTTCGCTCATTATACTACTCCCTTCTTTACTCATGTCAGTGTAAAGGTCACGTGATTGCAGCTTTCTAGATTATGTAGGTTATATATGATTTCTGGTGCACGCTTGCTAAGGTCATTTAATGTTCATCTCTCCACAGCTCAGTTTCATCTCCCCACTGTTACTGGCAGTCATACTGGGTGACTCTCTGGCTACCAGTAAACACCTCTCAGGTTTACGGCTTACAGCAGGACTCAGACCTGCAAGCACTCTCTCAACACACCGCCATGGTGAGGGCCTGTAAACTGCAGGGGAGGAGTTGCAGTGTATGGATTGACAGGCAGTGCATAGTTTTATTAGTGGTGGTGGTGGTGGTGGTTGGGGGCTGTAGATGATGATAGGAGGGTGGTGGTGGTGGGGGGGTTGAATCACCTCCAACTGCTCTGACAGGGAGGGCGTCACGTTCTGGCATGAAGACCAGTTTCAGTTTACCAGCTGCTGGATTCAATGCAGCGGAACGGAGGCAAAGGAGAAAACATGTATAATTGCATGCATGTTTTAACACACACAAACACACACACACACACACACAGACATGTATAGACATGCACATGCTAAACTAACCGCACAGCAACATGTACACACACATCTGTGTCCCGTTACATTGCTGCTCACTGTTTCGGCCCTTTTATTCCAGATGAAATTGGAAGTTCTCCATGAGATCTTCAGTTAGAATGAGTGTTTCAGAAACATGTGAGACCTCACATCTGCCCACCTGTTATAGCACCCAACCAGCAGATATCATCTAAAATCAGATATTTGTGCACCACAAAATAATCAGTGTTATGGACCAAAGAGATATCAAATAAACACTTGGCACAGTAACAGTATATTACACACCATATCAGATTTTCTAAGTCCAACCAACATTTATCAGCTATATCTGTTTCTCAAAATGTAACATTTCTTAACGCTGAAAATTATAACGGATTAGTTCAGCATTTTGGGGAGTGCATTTAGTCACTTCCTCACCGAGAGTTGTGTCTGCAAGCTACATATGACGGTACTTTCCAAAATGCTGAACTGCTCCTTTAATACATCCACTTAAATGATAATTGTACTGCCTTTGCAGAAATTAGCTTTTGCAGATTGGCTGCATGATTGCCCCCAAAAAGTTATTATCTTCGGCAGCAGAAAAAAAGGAAATTAATGTTATGTTTCATTGTGTCATAATTTGTCATGTTTTTACCTTCTAATTTGTTTTTCAGTCATAATATGCCGACTTTCCATAAAGATTCATTGTAAGAGGGTCAATGAAACATGTATTTTCTGTGGAAGCTAAACGTTAAAAGCAGGGTTTATTTACAGTTCTTTGATAGAATCCATTCTAACCTTGTCTGATACTATGGAAATCTAAATGTACAAAATTACATTGTCAGTTTTTATTCAGTCAAGCCCTGTGCGTCTCCACTCATCCTCTGACGAGTAGTCCTCTATGCATCTGGCTAGCTCTCCAGTGCTTCCTGCTCCTGTTATGTGTCTTTCTTCAACACATCCACGTAGGTTAATGTGGGATGTCCCTGTGAATGTCCATGTGTTGGCTCCCACAGCACCAGTTTGCTGACTGGAAGCTCCTGGTTTCTCTGGCAGAGATTGGCTAGTCTCATTCTCCTGGATGCTATTTTCTTGCTCAGCTTAGGCAGCTCTAGATTCCCGATGGTGATGTGCACGCCCTGGTTGATGTTTGTCAAAGTGACCAGAAAAGCCGTTAAATCACTTAGTCACCAACATATGAGGACATCAAACCCAGACTATTCTTTTTGGTTTAGGAATTAGAGATACTTACATGTGGTCAGACATACAAGTTTCCAATTATTTCATTTATTCTACTTGTTTAAAAAAACTACAAAATGCTTTTCTTCATCATCCTTTTTAATTTGATTTGAAATATGTCCTTTGAAGCTGGGGAGAAATTAAACAGCATTTGGTGCTCATTTCCAGTCAGTATTTGGCAAACGACAGCAGAAGCTTCCTCTCCAAATTATGTTTTAAGCATCTTGGCACGCGGAGTCACATAAGTCATCCACAATTAGTTTATATAATGAATCCACAGTGATGATTCTCATTTTTATTCAACACAGCTTCTCCCATTTTCATTTTAATGGTGCAACTGGCAAGTATAAACAGTCCTTTCATAGTTTCATCGCAGAGCGACAGTGAAACTGACATGAAATCCAGAGGAGCCCAGTGAAGACATGAACCAGGCGTCATGGATGGGAGCCGAGCCAGACGACAGGGAGTCAACAAGTGGGGCAAAAAGAGAAAGAGAGACGCAGTCAGACAGGAGAAAGACAGAAGGAGGGAGAGAGAGAGAGAGAGAGAGAGAGAGAGAGAGAGAGAGAGAGTGGTCTGTGTCCCTGTAAACAATAACACAACAGTCAGCTGAATTATACAATATTAGTGCAACAGCAGGGAGCCCTGGCTCTGAAAACTGTCTGAGGACTCAGTCTGTGTGTGTGTGTGTGTGTGTGTGTGTGTGTGTGTGTGTGTGTGGCAGGTGGCAAGAAGGATGGAAAGAAAGAAAAAAAAAGGACGACAAAGGTGACAAAATAGACAAAAGAGCAACACTTGGAGTGAGAAACACGAGAGCAGGAAGATGGAGAGAAACCAGTGAGGACAGAAAGAGAGAGATTTCCCCTTCAGACTTTCTCCTTGATTCCCAGCCAACACATTTACAATCGAGGAAGTCTCTACTGACTCGCTGCTGCTCCTTCCCTCTCCCCTCCTCTCCTCTCCCCTCATGCCGGGACCCCCCTCCCTCCTGAGAAAGTGGGACTCCCTCTCCCTTCCTCCCACCCTCCCTTCCTCCCACCCTTCCTCCTCACTCTCTCGCCCTCCCATCTGAAGATTTAACACAGTGCAGAGCAGAGCTGGCGGTCACAGTTGCGCCCTGGATTGTAGCAGAGAGAGTTCAGCCCTCCTGCAGCCTGTTAGCCCACCACCATGGATGTCAAACTGCTGGCACTGATGGCTCTGCTGGCCGTGGCCACACATGTACCAACCTCCAACGGTGAGTCCAGGAGAGGGTCGGGAGACTGTAGGGCAGTTTATAGTGATGCAGAGATTGTTGGTTTGATCATGTTTGAGGGGTTTGCTTGAAGGAATGTGGTACTTGAGATGTTTTAGGATGGAGATATCTGGATGCCGATACTTTTGTAGTTTGGATTATTTTAATCTTGTCTGTGAATGAACTTTAAAAAAAATAGATTCAGTTTATATTAGAAAATCAGATGAATGTCTTAAATCTACAGGAAAATTCATACATTTTAACTTTTTTGTCATTATTAAAGCTTGTGTCAGTGTTGCTGGTTCACTGTCAGGTTTTTTTCACATTAATATTGATTTTTGTTTAATGGTTGATGAGTTTCATTTGTTGTATACAAGAACGATACCTTTTTCTTGTTGGACTTGTGGCTTCAGCTCTTTGATACCCCTCTTTGATTTTGATTCTTTACATTTCATGTTTTTTTGAGACATGGAACAATAATAACTACAGCGTATTCCAGTGATTCCTCCACCACCATTTGTCTATATTGAATAAATAATAACTGAAGAGTTGAAACTATTAGACAATTAACTGATTACTCAATCCCCCTAAAAAATATTTTTCAACTAAGTGGAGATTCAACTGATTGGTTAAGTCATTTTTAAGGGAAAGTGCCAAAAAAAACACTGAATTTTTGCTGGTTCTCTTAGTTTTTCTCAGTTCTCTGTCTTTCTCAAGTTGAATATCTTTGGATTTTGGACTGTTTGGACAGAAAACATGCAACTTGAAAATAACAGCTGGGGCTCTGGGTAATTGTGAATTTTGATATTTTACAGGCCAAAATGATTAACTAAGAGAAAAATTAGCAGATTCACCAATAATGAAAATAGCTGTCCTTGATTGGTGGAACATATGTTACATTTTATAATATATGGACTATAATCAGGAATTTACATCACTAATGCAGCTTTTTGTAACATTTAAGGGGACTCATGTGGTTGCTGTTTTTTGAAATAAGCAATAAATTTGCAAATGTTCCAGTATTATAGACTAAAAGCCTTCACGTACCACAGCACGAGTGCAGCTTCTGCAGTGACCCCACATTAATCTCCCTCATGTTAACCTTGGTGGGAGACAACCAGGGTGTTAAGTCACCCGGCCTGCGTTATGCTAAACTTGTTGTTTCGGCCCACAGTTAGACCCCTGATTGCATATTAAAGAGTTAGGTCTAAATGTGTGTATTTGTCTTTTCACTTTGCTTTCTTTTAATTAGTTTCTAATTAGGGATAAACAATGCGGCGGTGATAGCGGTGGATGCTCGCCTCTTGCCCCGGTGCTGCATAATGATCCCTTAGTTTGCATGAGAAAAGGCCCTGAAGAGGTGTGAATCATTAGGCTGATATTACTGAGGATTTAGCCATTTGTGGCAGCACATTTGGTGCTGCATGATAAGCATGCATGTCAATGGGAATATGTTGAGCAGCAGAACAAAGGTCTGTTATTTACACCTGGTGCACATGATTTTGTTTATTTGTGTTTATTTAGCCAGGAAATGGCTGATACAAAGTTGTTGCAAAATGAACATCTGCTCTGTGAACTTCTCTAACAGTTTCTTGACTGCAGCCAGAATGAGGCAGATTTTCTTTTAGACCATTTGTATGTAATCAATAAAGCAAAGCATCCATAGCATCAAGGCCTTTGGGAAAGTTTTATAATTGAAAGTTTTATTGCAGGGTGTTTCTCTTCATCTTTTCATAGACATTTTTACAACCACCATCATTTCTTTGGGATCTGCAAACTCAAAAGGGCAAATTAAGCTCCAAACTACAATCAGTTTGTAACTGCATGCACTTGGAGTTATTCTTGAGCATCTGTGGACCCCTGGGCCCCCACAAGCCTCCGTGGAGGCCCAGGGGTGATTTGTAATCATTTTAAGAATGTACTTGAGGTGATTTCCTCAGAGGCTGTTGATGTCGCCTGAGCTGCAGAGTGGTCTTACATAAAGGGGCAAATATTGGAAACTGAATGTGGAGGACCCTTCTCCATTAGAGTGGCAAGGCTGAATGCTCTGGGAGTGAAAAGCTAAAATTCTGTGTGTATGTGTGCGTGTGAGAGAGTGTGACTGGTCCAAGGGCTAATCTCTTTTTAATGAACATGTTGTTCAGAGCAATAGCAGGTAAACTCACACGGTCCCATGCTTTGTAAAGGCTCGTTACAGTAGATTAAACACGCTTTTAATTAGTCTATTGAGGGAAGTGATGCTTTTAATCACAACTGAAATGAAGTAGAAGCTACTGTGTCGGACTTTGGATTTTTAATTTGAGTCGATGTAAATATTTTAATCCTCATATGATCTAAAACGATCCCTTGACCCTGTGTACAATGAAACGTTTAAGTTGTCTGGGAGAAAAAAAAAACAAAGGAGTCATAAAATTGCTCTTGAGCTCTGTTCCATGTCTGTAAGTGAGCCGGTGAGCTGAAATTACACCTTATTTCCACAATGCTCAGTTGCCTGTTTGGTTTGACTGTGCAGTTTCTTGTCTTGCAGTTTTATCACTTTTTCTCATATTAATGCTAATTTGTTATTTTCCTTGTGTGTTTGCAGCAAAGCCCATCAGTCTGGTAGAGCGGTGCTGGTGTCGTTCCACCCTCAACACGGTTCCGCAGCGCTCCATCAAAGAGCTCAAGTTCCTCCACACGCCCAACTGCCCCTTCCAAGTCATGTAAGTGAATGAGTGTAACATCACTGTGGTGATTAACTTGTAGAAAATGAATTTCCTGATGTGAATGTGTGCTGATTGTTTGAAAGGTTCTGTCACTTGCGTAGCTCTTTAAGTTAATTTTCTCAGTTGTTGGTGTGTTGTGCCAAAACATTGCGCTGCAAAAATCATGCCAGCTCTCCGTAAACCAAGGGTTCAAGCAACTGTTCCAAATCGGTGACAAATCATTTTTAAGGGGCTTTTAAGTATTGTGCGTATGTATAAACTAGTTTGCTTGCTCATGACTTGTGGCTGATCCTGACTGGGACCATGCACAGTGCTCACCTGGACATGATGTTCCCATCATTACATACTGTACCTGAATGCGTCATGTGTGATAATCGGCTGTTGAGTTTAATTCATCCACCAAAACGAGAAGTAATGTCACAATATCTGACAATAATCCCACCTTGGTGATACAAAACATTTTTTACTGATTACAGCAGTGCAGCTGGAATCAGTCTGATGTCATCATATTTTATGTCTTTGCTGTGTGTGTGTGTGACCTCCCACCCTGAACGTCTTCAAAGTGATATGAAGAGAAAATGAATCATTTTAATTAATTTGGGTGCAGAGAGTCTTAAGCAAAGACTGGAGATGTATTAGGCCTAGATAATGGACCTTAAAAAAAGTTTAAATGAACACTAAAGGGACAGATGGAGGAATTATTCACATGTCTGCAACAGAAATCCTTCATCCATAGAAATATCATTAAATTTGAAGTAAATGGAAATTAAATTATTTCTACTTTAATTAAATAATACCATCATAGTCTTGGGCCTATTGGGCAGCAAGTATTAATAATCAACAGTTTCATGTGGAAATGCAATGAAATAAGTGAGACATCAAAACTGATCATCTGCTAATGAAACACTATGGCACAATTCTCTTACTCAATTTTGCTTGTGTTCAATCCTGCTTTAAAATAAGGACATATTTCCAGTCACATTTATCCCAGTCTACCTGAGCTAATGACCATTTTTTAGCCCCTGCCTCCTAAAATACCACACTCATTTATTTTCTTCTAATTTAAGGCAATGAAAAAACAGTCATCCTTGATTTATATTAGATTCTTCTTCTTTTTAGATTCAATTTTGAGGTCTGTGTCACATGATATTAGTCCTTTTTATAGTCCTGGTGCTTCTTTATCTTTTTTATGTGATAACTTTTTTTATAACTTAATTTCCCTGATTTTCACCATTATTTAGTATGTTAAATATAAAGGGAATCATACACTACTCAACTAAAACAGTGTGGATAGATTGAGGGTGGATGTGTGAAGAGTGGTGTTAATATCCTTCTATTCTTTCCCTAATGAGAGGCCTGAGTTTAAAACAACATGATCCTCTCAGAGAGAGGAAAGCGGTAACGGCCGGAGCTCGAGGGGGCCGTTTATGTTTTGCAAAGGAAGCAATAATTAAAGGTCAGAGTGATTACCTTTGTATTTCTTCTGACCCCCTGTGTCCCTTACCACTTTTTATTTTTATTTCCCGCCTCAAACTGCCCAGCAACATCGAGCATAATGTCACTAATCTGGAACACATTAACTAAAAAGCCTCATTCATTTGTCCGCTATAGAAAACGGGGCGGCAGAAGCTTCACAGCCAAAAGGCTAAAAGGCTGTGGGGCTTCTGCCAGGAAGGGCGGGGGTGTAATGACTGTTAAGGGGTGAGCGAATGGCAAAAGGTCAGAGAGGACACACAGCGCTCCAGCCAGGACACAAACTCCCTCTAACCTCCCTCCAGAAAACTGCCAGAGGAGTCAAGAAGTCACTGAGACAAGGAGCCTGCGGAGTTGCTCCTATATCTCTATTGAGGCAGATGAAAGAAATCCAGTAACACTACACCCTCTACCCCCCCTCCTCCTCCGCCCAGTGTCCCACCGTGCGCCCTCATCCCAGCATGCTGTTGGTATTAACTTGCTGTGAAGTAATTACTACCTGCTGCTTGTGGAACTCCGGCCCTCAAATTCCAGCCAAGTCAATTAGGGTTTCAACTCTCAGTTGGTCACCCAGACAAGCAGACAGATAAACAGGATGAAGGGAGACACATCAAAACAGCAGAGAGCGGCTGAGCGGATGAGCCGGGACGCCCCTAATAAAATAAGAGAGGAGGGGAAGAAGGGGAAGAGGGTGACATCCCTGGAGGAAAAGCAAACACAGATCCAGTTACTGAGCTGTTTGGCCTCCTGACTCGCATGTTAGTCTGAGGGATTTAAAGCTGATGCTTGGATTGATGCTCCTGAACTGCTCTTTTAAGTTTCAGGCCATTTGCTCGTTGGCTTGCGTGTGTGCACCTTAATGGAGTGAGGAATAGGGGAGGTGGCATGTTAAAGGTGTAGCAAAGGGTGGGGGTTCAAACTGAATCAGAAAACAGTGATCAGGGAGCAGTGAGGAGGTGCAGAGCAATGTGTTTAATTTGCAGGGCAGTGTGATGGAGAGATGGAGGGAAGAGAAAGAGGAACAGTGAGGCGAGACACCTCTTCAGTTGTTAACTCTCATACACGATCTTTTGCCACCGAGGTGTGAGATCCACATGTTTGGAGGGGGGGATGAGACCCCGCCGCCTGCCCCCCCAACAGATCTGACACCCTCCCAGCAGTTTGTCTGATAACTGAACAAATCCCCTCCTAAATATTTGGCTCAGCTCTCTTTCAACAGGCCGGACATCACACGCAGGAACAAGCACTCTGCGTGACCGTAGAAGTGTTGATCATAAATCTCTGCAGCTTCTGCTTCACTCTTATACTACAAATGAGATCCAGCTGATCTGTAAACACAACTGCTTGACATCTGAGTCACGAAATCCAAATTTTGGACATTCAGATTTTCAAGTTTTTTTTGTGTATAGTTGCACATTTAAAAATAGTTTAAAAAAGCACATATATGACAATATTTATTCTTAACCCAGTAATAAATTATAAGGAGCAACAAATGATTTGCACTTATTTTTAGCCACTTATTCATATCAAAGTAGAACATGCAAAAACCAAATAGACAAAATAGGCAGCAAAAACAGATACATTTGCCACAAATCACAATCACACAGAAATGCAATTATACAATTATGAATAAAAATGTAAAATACAAGAATTTACAGGATTCTATCCTTATACTGTGGAAACCAAACCAAAACCTCAAATCAATTCAATAATGATAGAAAAGTTTTTGAATGAGCGTTGGGCAAGGATAAATCAGTCTATTACATTTAATTTACAGTACACAACATTAATGATATGCTTACTGTTACTCATGAATCTTTGTGTAATCACTAACACTAAGTCATTGTGTGGCACTTTTCCATAACGAGCCAGGTCTCACTCCGAAGTCGTCAAAATCCGGCACTTGGGCGGTGACTTGTGGTGTCACAAACCAATGAAAAAAGGTCTCCTTTAACATTGGCATGATACACAGCCAGTTGCAGTTATAGTTTAACAGCACCCAGCAGCTTCAGGAAAAGGACAAAAGTTAAGGCAGCGAACGTTCAAGAGGGGCAAGTGGAAGAGGAGGTGGATGGGTCCAACAAATGCTTACGTTCACCGGAGAGAGCAGTGTTCGCGTCCCGTAAGATTCTAAAGCCAAACCCTGTTCTTTTTTCCTAAACCCAACCACATTTGTTTCAATTCACATTCGTTAAATTTCCTGAGAAAAGAAAAGTGTATCTTGAAAGAAGAGAACTTGACACAGTGTCCCAGAACGTCAACAACCAACGCACCCAGGGTACCTTGCATGTCGTATGTGGACGTGGAAAGTCCATGACCAAAACATCAATACGTGACAAGGTCGGAGTGAGAATGTGTTGCCATAACAGCAAGGTGAACTACTTAGCTAACAGTTGAAACACTGGCTAATCGTTTTGTAACTTTTCGAGCTGGAGAGTCAGACAAACCATCAACTTCAGAAACCATCGACGATAAAACTACTGCTGACTGAGAAGGGACAGGCAAATGAGAAAAGACCCAAAAATATTCAAAGAATGATCTCAAGTGCAACTCAGTTTTACACAATCAATGTAATAGTGGGTCCCTGCTTTGTTTTTCTCTGAGCTGAGGGGTCTTTGGCCTGAAACATGTTAAAGACCCTTCTCTTTGATGAAGAAAGAGGTTAAACACGCTTCAACCACCTCAGAAGAAATAACAGGCCTGCCTGGTGTCATAATAATGTCTGCAACAATGTGAAACATAACCTCATTTTAGGAGCCAAGATTACTCATGACTTTTAAACCAGCCTGACCAAAATGCTTTCCCCTACAAACTTCATCAGCCTACGAGTTGGGATGTTTTGTGTGAAACGTAGAGACAGCTTTACAAGCCACGTGGCCCACTGTGATCAGCGATGCGAGCCTCCCCTCCAGCTGTCCCTGAGTGGAAACAGAGAGCTGCGATTTTTCACCGCCAACCGGAGGGTGACAGCCTGTTATGTGCAGTAATCCTCCGGTGTTCAGCTGGGATGTGTTGTAGGATGTGCAGAGGTTTTTAGGGCTTAACTGAGGTGTTTCTGAGCTCAGCCTTCATAAACTGTATCAGATATCATCCTGACATATTGTGCTCATTTCAACATCGAGGTCTTTTGATTTATTCAACACGAGTCGAACCTTAAATAGAGCAAGTTTTATTTTATGTTATGATATGCTCTAACAAAGGAAGCTGCGTTCCTTTTTTGGTTTAAATAAAGCAGATAAGCTGATGTTAAATGAAGCAGCACCAGTGTGATGCTCTTAATTTTGACGTTAAGGTGACAGTTTGTTAGAAGTAGTAATCCTCTGGTTTTAACTGGGATGTGTTGGAAGATGTTCTAGGCTTTTGGAGATTTAGGTGAGCTTTTGTTCAGGTTGGCTTTCATAAAAAATAAATAATATTAAAGTGATTTACTGGCCATAAAGAGCTTATGTTAAAGATATTTTTAGAGCATTATCTCTTCAACTTAAACAATATCACCTCCCAAATATATGCCATCTTTATAGTGCTTACAAGAATTATAAATGTTACATATGGTACATTTAGATTTAAAAGGTCATACCAGCGGTTTGTGTGTTCAGGTTTAATAACTGCAAATTGCCTGTATTGTACATTTCTGCCTGCCATTATCCAAATTATAGGCTACAGTGGCTTTTTAGCAAATTTCTCACGTTGTAAGAAGCCATTATTTTCCATTAATTTCATTACTGTGTGAGAGTGGAAACTTGCTTGACCAAAGTACTTCGTCAAAGTGAAGAAATTGTCACCTTCATTTAAAGTCAAATGTGTGTTTACTGATGCTTGGTCTGGCAGTTGTGAGCAGAAACTATTCTTTATGCTGGTGCGTTCAAAGACGCTCAAACATTTGACACTACTGAGCAGCAACCATTTAAATGCAAGAGATAATGGTGGTCACAGTATAACGCTTACAGCTTGCTTTTTGTTTTGGTGTTTACATTTTGAATTAGATTGTGTTTAACCCTGAGCAAATTGGCTTGATTTCTTTTAAAAACATGGGAAGAAAGCAATGAGCAACGAAAGAAGAAATTACCCCCAAAAAATTAGCAAAAAAAAAAAGAAATAATAAAAAGTATAAAGTCAACAAACAAAGAAATGACCTGGAAAGAGTGCTTAAGAATGATAATTATTTTGTAATTTAAAAAAAAATAAAAAAATAAATAATAATTAAAAATACAGTAAAATCCCTAGGTGTCTTCTTTTTTCCCCCTATTTTTTTAAAATAATTTTCCAAATTTATGTATTTACTTTTTTGCAGTTTGTGGGACATTTCTTACCAAGTTGCTAATTGCCTTTTTTCCCATCATTTAAAAAGAAATCAGACCAATTTGCTCAGGGTTCAAAGGTATAAATACTTGCAAAAGGCATCTAAAAGCAGCACAAGAAAAGTGATGTTGCTGGAGGTTTGAAAGGGTTAATCACAGTTCATTTAAACAGTTTGAGTTTGGACTATCAAAGGAGGTCATAATGTAACTTTGGAAAGATTCAAGGTTGTGATGGATTATTGCTAACAACAAGTAAGTTCCAAGTCTCTATGAGATGATTGATGGGGTTCCGACATGAATGGAAACTGTTGGCTCTCTGGAAGTTGGGGAATCAGCTTACAGAGATTCTCAAACTGTGGTACGCAGAGGCAGAGACATCGTATGAGGCAAAGATACTGCGTGAGGTGAAAGGCGTTAAGGTGCTTAAAAAAACTTTGCACCACTACTCTTGTCAAAATTCATACTCTGTCAAGGGCAAATTGAATGTTTTAAATATTGATGGATGTGTCCCCTGTATCCCCCCAAAAAAGCTACACCTATGCTCGGAGTCATAACTTTGTCAAATAAACAGAACACGCACATTGAAAACAAGAACAGGTAATAGTTAATTCGGCATATTTTTAATTACGCCAAATTGCTAAAATCTAAATAAATACAGACTGAAAATAAAATTTGTAGCCCACAACTGGCTCCACAGCATGTTTACTTTCTGTTTAAATCTCTCCATCCCAAAGCATTATGGGAACAGCAATTTTGTCTGAGGGCGCCCAACAGTGTCAGACTTCAAACCCCTCTGCTTTGGAAAATAGTCTGTAGTAATTTAAAATATACAGTACTGTAATAATAATAATACACTTTATGTACACATTTGATGACTGGTCTAATACCATGCACAGCCACCTGTGTGGTCCTCAGGAGAAGATGCCTAAAAAGGAACTTGACTGATGTCCTGTGAGGGTCTGTGTTAATTAAAATGCCAGTCAAGTTTCCTTGAGGTTACTGAGCGGTCTTGTTACACTTTGGCTGACCACACAGCTAATGAAATAGATATAATCTCTGCACTGTACACCATCACCGGATGCTCGGCTACAAAAGAAGCCCCGAGGTGAAAATATTCTCCAGCAAACGTCCTTGAACCTAATTTATTAAATGTGAGTTTGGATTAGATGAAAATGCCTTGCGTCCTCTCCCTGTCTGCTGCTCCTGCTTCACGTGCAAAACACTGTAAGAAATGCTCAATGTGTGGCATCTAATCCCTCAAATTCTTTTTTTCTCCCACAGTGCCAAGCTGAAGAACAACAGGGAAGTCTGCATCAACCCGGAGACCAAGTGGCTGCAGCAGTACTTAAAGAACGCCATTAACAAGTAAGAAAAAACCCTCCTCGCCCTCGCTGTGCAGACACAAGCTTCGCTGACAGGCTGAAATGAAATACAGCTCTCCTCTCTGCTGAGTTTAGAGCCCACAAAGAAGAAATAAACCACTGTGGCAAATGGCCATTTCTCAGTTTCCTGCTGACAGTTAATCTCTGAAACCAGTGACATGGTTGATGTAAGCAGCTGAGTTATTATCTGTGAAATTATTAGCATCAAGAAAGAATAGTGATAAATCTGTCACTGGTGTGTCCACTTCCTTTTCTCTCATAAAAGGCTCATTTCTGTGACTTCAGAGGAATCAAATGATAATCATTTTTACCCTCTCAACTCACTCACAATTAATGCACCAAATCGTGTGTTCGTTGTATTTTTAACATGAATTTTTAATCCTAAGAAGCATTTTCCACATAATTATTATCACTAATTGCACCTCAGCAACAGAGTTCTCCCGGTTGGGTTGCAGCATTGTGGGTAAAAACCATTCATAGTAAAAACTGCAGCAGCTCGTTCAGTTTTTTAATGAGCTATGCAGTTAAAATCTTTGCATTCCTCGTAAAAAAAAAAAAAAAAAGTTTCAAATATGTCTGGTGGTGATTATCACCAGGCTGCACGTCTGCTTCTTGAAACACCATAAACACTTCAGGCACAATGTAAAAACAAATAATAAAGTAATTTCCGAGGGTTAACGAGATATTGTTTACTGTGTTAGGAAAGGACCTCTGCGAATACATAAGTGCTCAGAGGTGAACTCTTATCCTGGGAGTTATTGCAGGTCACTGAAGCCGGCATGTACCACAGCACATGCTGTAGAGAGAGTATATTTTGAGCTTATTCAAGGAGGTGTTATGCGCAGAAAATGTGAAAATGACCAAAACTGCACTAAAGAGTTCAATATAGTAACAGTATGGTTGCACTGATCATGAATGAATGGAGTGAGAGTAACTTTAAACCTGTTCACACCACAGTCCGACGCTACAACAGGTGTCATAGGATATGAAATAATTTACCAAGAATGCATAGTGTGTGTGTGTGTGTGTGTGTGTGTGTGTGTGTGTGTGTGTGTGTGTAGGCTCTGTAGAAACGCAGTCTCCTGTCACATAAAAGGCAACCTGAATTATTCTCATTTCAAACCTTCTATTTCATAGAGGGACCTTTTTTTTTTACAGCGTGGCTGCTCTTTGTCAGCATCACCCTTTTTCACGTTCAGTTAAAGTTACATATAAATCACACTTATACGATATGATGTTCACCTTTCAAAACTGTTTGCCAACACCTGAGGTCCCCATGTCCCTGCTACAAACAGCATTTTTCATCTCCTCCATAGCTTCTTTGCAGATGATGTCATACATTGGTGCGCTCTCCAGATGGAGGGCAGGCAACTGGAGGCAAAGACTATCAAAACTGTAGAAATGCCTGTGATTTGCGCTGTTCATGGCTGTTCCCATTGATCAAATTGAGAAAAAATAAAGGCAACTCATGTCCCAAAAATAGTAGGACGTAAAGAGGAGAGTCAACTACTTTTAAATGAAAACATTAAAGCGTTCTGTTAAACATGCTTTGAGTTGGATGCAATGTGCTGTGACACCTTTCCGTCTTTTTAGCCACAACACAGTTTGTAACAGTGTTTCACCAGACCTCTGGTAACAGTTGATCTACTGGATAGAAAACAGCTAAAGTTAGCTAACTTTACCTAGAAACGTTACCTAGAAACGTTAGCCTGACAGCGGTGCATCCATGTATAATGCTCTATATACTGTATATATAATATAAAAGATTGTTTCACTCAAGCAAAAAGGAGGCAGCAGTTGTCTCAGTCATGGACCCAACCCCACACAAAACAGTTATAGTCCACTAGACTCTTGTGAGCTTTGATCTGCCGGCATGTAACATTAGTAACATTAGGAGGTCTGGAGGAAGAGATCATTTGTAACAACAATCATGTCTACACCTGGAAAATCGGTCAAGCTGTGGGAAAACTCACTTTTCTTTGTTTTGTGTGGACCACATCCAACATTAGTTTCAGTTTTCTGATGAAACCTGCTGCCTTTAGATTCTTGTGGTCAGGCTCCTCTTCCTTTTCAGTATATGGATTTATCACATCCTGCCCTCCATCTGAATTTCGCACATCATAAAAGTCACATGACTGCAAACAAGCTATCAAAAGAGACCCACAATACTAACCCTGTCTACTAGAAATCATACTTATATGCTCCAACTTTTTTCCCTACATACTTTCAAGAAATTATTATTGCTTCCCCCATTACATGCTCCAACAACATTTCACTAGTGTAGGAAGCACCAATTGCCAGTCATAGTGAGGGGTTACTTAAAGGGATAGTTTGTATTTTTGTAATGGGGCTGTTTGAGGCACCTATCTATTGTTCCTATATTACCTACAATAGATTGGTCGGCACACTCCCAGTTTTGAGAAGCAGACAGCAGTACAGCCACTGAAGCAAAGCACTGTACCGCTGTAGACGAGGGCAAAAGCAAAATGTACTTTAGTTTAACTTAAAGATATCAATATCAGTTGAAGTGTGAATCCAAACTAACCCTTTAAAACACTTAAGTCACATAATAAACCAAACAATCGAGGCAGCAGTAAACCAGCAACTCCAGTGTTCTGTGAGGTAAAGTTATTGTTTTTGTCAAAGGAGTCTGGTGGCTTTGAAGACAGCAAGATTACAGCTTTATATATTCATTCATTCATTCATTCATTCATTCATTCATCCATCTTCTAACCGCTTCATCCTCTTGAGGGTCGCGGGGGGGCTGGAGCCTATCCCAGCTGACATTAGGCGAGAGGCAGGGTACACCCTGGACAGGTCGCCAGACTATCACAGGGCTGACACATAGAGACAGACAACCATTCACACTCACATTCACACCTACGGACAATTTAGAGTTACTCCACACAGAAGGGCTCCCACGCCCGGGATCGAATCGGCAACCCTCTTGCTGTGAGGCGAGAGTGCTAACCACCACACCACCGTGCCGCCCATTTATATATTCATTTTTTTTCTAAATATAGCATACACAATATAGCATAGCATAGCATACACAGCTCCTTTGACATTTCTGTCTGTTCATCCAAATGTTTGTATATAATCATCATTAGATTAACTGTGAATCTACTGGTGGTAATTTCCTGTACAGAATATCCCATCTGGCCAAAAAAAAAGAAACAATGGTCATCTTCAGTTTTAATGCTAATAAATAAATTATCCTTCTTATCTCTCTCCAGGGTGAAGAAATCACGAAGACGCAATAACAAGAAAAACTAAACACACAGGAAGACAAGTATGTCGTCAGGCCTGGTGTCCCAGGGTCGAACCTGTATACCTCCCTGTCACTGCTATGGATGTATGTAATCACGCTGTATGTACCCGTCCACCTCTCTGGACTGCTTGCAGAACCAGCACTTCACCGCCAAACTGTGCCGTCCCCAGCACCACCACCACCGACCCCTCTGGACACCCACGCAGTCACCTCCAACTCTCCATGGTAGCAGCAAGTGCAATTATACCTTGGGATGACGGGACACATTCTCACATCAGATATATATGTGTGTGTGTGAGCACTGGGCACAAGAGCGATTGTGTGTGTGTTTGAATGTGCAACATATGAACTCTTTTGTGTGTCATATATAGAATTTTCTTACTTCACACAGCCAGAGAGGAACAAAAAGCTTTCTGTCCCATGCAAGGCTTTGTGGGTAATGCCACCTTCATGTCACATCAGAAAAAATATTTACATCAGCCTCCCAGGAGGAATAATGATTGGGATTTTCTTGGCTGGTCATGTCCTGTATATTAAATTGTGCAGTTTTGCAAACTGAAGAAGTGTTTAATTTAGAAACATCAAAGGTCAATACACCCAATTCAGTTATTTTCACAGTAATATCTCCACTTGTGCTGCGTTAACATGGAGTCAGGGAGACGGTAGACGGCATACCGCATATTATTTTACATTTTTTAAATTAGGTGAGGCTGGCAGAGAATACTGGCAATGGACACAGTAGACATAATTTCTGTCCAAAGCTAAAATATTGTCTCTCTGACTCCATGTGAATGTAGCATTATGAGTTACAGATTTAAATGTAAAAGTTTTCTCTGATAAGAAGTGAAAGTGGCATTACTCTATCACTGAGAGGACCTGGGGCAGTAACAGGGGCTGGCCAATGGGGGTGAACCCCTCACAAGTAGTGACCAATCAGGGCAGACGATATCAGAACAGAATCTTGAGTCGTCTTCAAGATTCGAGCTCCACCAACAGCAACAAAACGGAGGCTCACACACACTGCTAAGAAGCAAGCACTGATGTTGTGGTGCTATATATCCAGTTTAAGGGGTCAGAGCCATTGACATAATTATATTCCACTGTTTATGTTTATGCAAGATTTAAGATGGGATGTTGTGACCCCTGTGTGTTATATACAAACACTACTATGTTTTTTTAACCAGTCACAAAATATTTAAAGCGCTGTTATAAGAGTCTGAAGTGGAAAATGAAATGGAAAGCTGATGTTATGCCAAGGCCATACTGTACTGATAAATACTATAAGAAATGAAACACTTATCAATGCATCTTTTTTTATGTTATTGAACATATCAGTTAACTGAGACCAAACATGCAACATGAAGAAACCTGTGAAACCTCAGAAAGCACGACTTTATATTCCATTTACTGTCAGAAAAAAGGAGAAGATCATCATCATTCTTTTTTTTTTTTTTTTTTTTTTACACCTCATTAAGGGACTGTGGGTAAATGTATGTCATGACAAGAGAACAATTCAACTGCAGTATTTTCATACCAACACCTGTCCTTGGTAGGAATGAAAAGCTAATAAGTTGTCACATTAAACATCTGAGTGAGAAATGGAACATGGGGAATATTCACGGTGGCGAAAAGAAAGTTTTTGTTAATCCGTTTTTTATATATATATTTGAGCCACTTTATTATCAGATGTGTCTTTTAAATGTAATTGTTTTATTTTTATATTGTGTATAATCTTACTAAATGCTTCTTTTCTAATGCAATGTACAGTAGGTGGTAGCTACTAAATGAAGGCTAGTCCATAAAATGCAGGAAACAGTGTTACGCTTCATTTTTAAGGTTTTATGCAATATTTCACATGTATGTAATGGTGTTACTACACAGTATGCAATGTTAAGGACTTTTTTAAAAATAATTTTTTACAGTGTAAATAAAAAGAGTAGCAGCCCAACACTTCAAATATCTTCCTCCTGGTTTTATGTTCTGTCCATCCTGTTTCCATATCAACTGATCCGAGATGTAACAACAGTGAACTGAATAAAATCTGTGAGGTTCAGCACACAGTGATTGAAAACAAAAGCCACTGTCATTGTGTTACATGAGTCAGGAAACTATTCAGCCCACCAGTCGTCCCCACGAACACTTGATTTGATTTTTTATAGTTTTACTGAGGTTGATGGACGATGTGTCAATAGCCACGGAGCCAAAACAGAACAAAACCTTTGAGTCGAGATCCAAGCGCCCAACATGTGCTTTTAATCTGGACACTCCCAGCACCCCACGGGCTTTCTTTTCACTTTCACTCAACTGTTGCATATTTTATTTTTCCTCTCAAATCGTAGTGGAGGTCATGTTGGCTGTGGTCAAATCCATGGTCTTTGTTTTGCTTTACATGGTCTGTTTGCTAAGTGCCTGATCACAGGTGATACTCATATCAATTTGCAGCTAATGGTGCAATAATCATATAAGTGTAATTCATTTCCCATTAATGTAATAGAAGTTAATGCACATTCATTTTATATTATTATACTCATTTGTTTAAACACGTGGCTAAGTAAGATAAAAATGCTCCAGTTTCCACATGCACTGATATGCAGTGATAAAAGTCTGACTTTATTCTTTGTGTAAATTCATCACAAAACCACCAGCCATGCACATTAGTTTATTAACTATAGAGTTACATCCAGAAAAAATGTGTAACTTTTTAATATATAATGTGATAATTATCTCAATAACAGGAAAAATATACTGCATTACATGTTGTAAAACGTAACTAACCACTCACTTTCATTACTGATTATGTTCATTTGTAGTAACAGGTCTTTAGTTTTATTAATCAGACATTAACTCCTTTTATGTTTAGTGCTGTGGCCCCTGCAGTGCTAGCGCCACTCTCACTGAACCGTCACTGCAGAGAATATTTCATGTGATTAAACTGTGTCAGACAAATACAAAGTGTAGACTCCTTCATCATGGTGCAAACAGAGCTTTTACAGAATGTTTCTGTGTTCATTATTGGGACCAAATTCACATTCAGGTTCACATTTATCGCCATTCGTGTGTCGATAAAGCCATCAAAGTGGGTGCATGTGTTTTCCTTTGGTCTCCAAGACAATGTGAAATCTTTCTTTTGAGGCAGCTTCTGACACATATCCTTCATATACGTGAGATGTATTAGAGTATTATTATCTGTATTGTCACTGTTTGTAAAGCAAGAGGCAGTATTTTAGCTACGATACTCAAGCCCTTTTTCAATAAAGTCATATGAAATTAAATCAGCTTCACATGTCTGTGTTTTATCTGCCAGAACCCGTGTTTACCTGTGTATTTTGTTGATTTAAAGCTACGTTACGTGTTTTCTGACCAATAGGGGGCAGAGGGGTTTCAAAACATGCTTACAAAAAGACATCCTGATTAGACTGTCAGCTTATGTAGTTGTTGTGGCTAGCCTGTTTGTTCGTCCAGCAGACATGGAGCAACATGAGCATCCTACTGGAGTCGAGTTTCCGCCCACCTGACTGAAGCCCAGTGTTCACTTTTTAACTTCTTCCTCCACCTCTACAGAAAACCATCTGTCCTAAGCTTTTTAGATGATGTTAGTCGTTGTGGGTGTAAGCTGTCTACAGCAGGACTTGTAACCCAGGTCCTGAAATGACATTCTCTTTTGTTTTGTTAAAATTCTCCCGTAACGTAATTCATTTTAATTATGGGATGAACAATTCATTAAGCAGTTACTAAGAATCTGTAAAATAATTCATTTTATTTTGAAATACATAAATAATTCACGGAAGTTTATTTATATGCATAAAAACTGTTAAAAGTGTCTTAGAAGTGTTAAAATGGAGAAAAGAAGAAAAAAAATGTTTTGTACATGACCAAATGCAGTCTAGCACGGGGTTTCCCCACCTAGCCAATCAGCGAGCTGTGTGAGCCCCAGGTGATCAACTCGGTAGTCTGACATCCTGTCGTGAAATCCTGCTTCAGAGCATGTTCATGCTGCGGCCTCGTGCGAGCTCAGAGAAGGAAAACTAATGAAATGAGTGGTGATTTACCGGGTAAGATGCTAGAAAAATATCTTAAATGAAGCTGTGTTAACTTCGGATAATGTATGACAGCTGTAAATGCTCACGTTTCACTTTGTAGAGCAGCGCGAGAGTCAAAGTGGTTGTGCCGACCTGGTGGGGTGAAACTTTGTAAAGCCCGTGCACATAGTAATTCAGCGGTGAGTGAAAAAAGTTCTTTTAAACTGTTTTAAGGCAGCTGATACTCATGTCTAAATATGAATGTGTTTTAAAGTGGCTGTTACTCGTGTATTGGCACGGAGAGCCACGGGAAAAAGTGTTAATGATGCTAATTGCTCGAAACGCTGTTTTGCGATGCTAGCGGCCTACTAGCTTGGGCGTAGCCATTTAGCGGCTATGATTGCTTGGTCTCATGTACGATTTATTGAAATGCTCATTGATGATATGTTTACAGAGGAGGATGTTCTTCTAAACTGTTTACTATATGTTGAGAAAGAAAAAAGATATTGGTGCGTTTCATCGGATTGTGTTCATTTCTGATTGTGGTGATAAAAGAGGTTAATTTTTAGTGCAATCTCTCACTGTTACCGGTGCAGGGGGGAGAAAATTAAGCACATTGAGCCATATTACCTCAAAGATTACTACAATAGTTACTGTTCTGAATGTATTTGTTCATCAACTTAAAGGTGCACTATGTGATCTTTTTTTTATTTCTGGAAACTGCTCTTTTTTGATTGTTTATCAACATAATCATAATAATTTATCATTTTGAAATGGTTAATGTTGTAAATTGAATATTAGAACATGATTGTAAGAAGTATTTTGAATGCATTTGTGGTTTCACAGCTGCAGATGAGAACTTGAACTGGAACTAGATTTTTGTTGTACAACTAAACTTTTTGAGAACATGATTAAGCCAGTAATGCAAGTGAGTGCTATTGGTTGATAATAATACATGAAGAATTAGAAAATGAACATGATTTTGAATATAACAATATACTTGGATTTCCTTTGACCTGCTCATAGGTCAGGTTTTTTGTTGGATGACGTCGTTAGAAGAGGTTGCATCCACGTTCCACCATCCATTGCAACGCTTCCTGTTGGATTCGTGGGAGGCTTCCAGGGATTGTTCCAGATCCCAAGATTTCAGGATTCCCAGTGTGAGCTGGGTGGCGAGCCGCATTGAACTACTGGTATCGAATTGGAGAATCGTGAAGGACTCCTGATCTTCCTGTTGCACGGACGGTGTGGTAGGACAAACACTTACACTGATACGATGACACTGAGTGAAGAAGGAAAAAAATAGAAGAAAGCAACAAGGGCCCCAACACTGACTCTGGGAAAAAGGGTTTTATTTTTGCCGGCTTTATTATTTTAGTTTGTTATTTTTCAATTACTGTTTACAATAAATTGTTGTGTTTTCATTGTGTTATTATTATATAATAACAAGTTACACACAAAACCTCAAACCATTGTTGTTTGTGTCTTCTGAATTCAATACCAAGGGCTCTTACAAATCTAAATTCTTCTGTTACTGGTCCATTCCTCATTACAGTTTATTAATTACCTGTGCTTTGTTATTATATTATAACAAGGGTTACAGACTGTTTGCAGGAGCCATGTCTGACACAGTCTGTGGTTACCCTGTCTCCCAGGAGTAATGTTATTATGCTGCTAATCTGCAACAGGCAACACATTTTCAGAGCAACACAATGCTGTCTGAATTGTTTCAGCAAGTCCCCTCCACATTAATTCAAATTCAAGTGTCAAAGCCATCTAACAGCTGTAGTGGTTATGATGGGAGCAGAGAAAGAAGGTGATGTTGTTATGAAATGATGAAGTTCATGTAGGTTGAATGGGTTATTTAAGAAATCAAAGTTGGACTTGTGAGATAGCTGTTTGTTTCCTGTTTCTGTTTGGGTTTCTATTCAAAGCATGACCACGGCAGTTCCTTGTGCTCGACTCGACTGAAGATGGTGGGAGAAAGGACAATGATAGCCAAGCTGTCATCCCTTATGGTCAACATGTCCCACCCCGTGCAGGACACTTCGACAGCACTGGGCAGCCCCTTCAGTGACAGGCCGATCACCCACAGTGTTTGAAGGACAGCTACTGCAGGTCCTTCCTTCCTGCTGCAGTCTGACTTTACAACACTGCTCCCAGTAGACCTCACATACAAAAACTATGGACAATCAATCAACACTTAATCAACAGCAATATCTGTATCTGTATGTACCAACTGTGAAATATCTACACTTGATACGTGCAATAATGTGAATCCTGCCACTCAGCCTGGCTATTAATTATTATATCTTGCATTTATTTTTTTACTGCTTACAATCAATGACTCAGATGCTTCTTTATTATATTGCTTTGTGTTTTTATGGTGTTTGCTTATTGTTCTACTCTTTGTTTGTGTACAGTTTAATTACTTTACGTATTCACATATTGTTTTGCTCTATCCCTTTGCTGCTGTAATGTTGCAAATTTCCCCACTGTGGGACGAATAAAGGATTACCTTACCTTACCTTACCTCACCTTACATTACCTTAGATCACCTTACCTTACCTCGCCTTGCCTTGCCTTACCTTACCTCACCTCACCTTACCTTACCTTACCTTACCTTACCTTACCTCACCTTACCTTACCTTACCTCACCTTACCTTACTTTACCTCACCTTACCTTACCTCACCTTACCTCACCTTACCTTACCTCACCTTAACCAAGTGATTATTACTGTAACCATGATGTTGAAAGTCACACTTCATCCTGTGTGGTGATATTGTTGGCGAATGTAGCCCGTAGAAAGAAAACAGTTCCTACATGAAACTGCTCACAACAAGGTCTGTGGATTATCTTGAGTAACTGGATCATGATTTCAGGAAAGACACATTGCTGTTGAGTTTGTATTTTTTGGCGCTTTGAGCAACATAAGCCAAGTGCTATCTAGTTCCATTATATTTAAGAAAAGACAGACATCCCTACTTCTGATATCTCCAACACTGCAAATCACACCAAAATAATCTAGAGTGATAAAAAGCACTACATATAAGAGGGAAAGTCCTTTTAACCCAAACCACAATGTTTCCCTACAATGTTTGAACCTCTCAGCAACCACAGCATAAATGTTGTTTTTGGGGTTATTTTAGGCACTCCAAACACTGGGTTACCTTGGGAGAAAGATCAAGACCTTGGCCAGATACTAAAAACGTCTAGAAGTGGCTTGAAGCCCGAGACAGATCATATTTGGCTTGTTAATACTGAATCAAGACCAAAATCTTTCCCCATCCTTTTGGACTCTGGATGTGAATCCTCAGTGTCAGCACTTTGTACAAAAATGTAGAATTTCCTTCACTAGAAAAAAATCTTGCCACTGAGATGAATGTAGCAGCAAATTAATAGTATACACATTAAACATGATTTCTAGGGGACAGAGTTGCTATCAGGTTTTAAGAATCTAGTAAAAAAAACAGGAAAGAGACGGACATCTGTTGAGTTGAGTGCTGATACTTTTGGGTTTAGCACTATTAGCAACCCATTTCACAATACAGGGAGTCATTTGGATTAACAGTAATACCTTAAATGTCTCTTGATGCAATTTTGAAGTGGAAAATGCCGAGCAGAAGACATTTCTCTCTTTCAAGAACTGTCATGAGGAGTTACACACTCACTTTGATGATAATAAAAAGTGGCTACACCACACCTTAGACAGTTGGGAAAAGTTGTGCTTCAGACTATGCAACCTCTCCTTCTACAGAGAGCAATAAACCACAGGAGACCAGACTTCCTGTTGCAGGTTCACCAAAATAATCTGGCTTAAACAGAAAGGCATCAACAGGCCAAAACCCCATGCAAACAGCAGACCGCTTTGAGGCCCGATGAATAATTCAACAGGACTATCGCTTGACATTTTCCACCTCAGGACTGAAACCTATTCAGCAAATCTTTTTCCAGTAAAGAAATAAAGAGGAAGGGCACATGTAATGGCCATTAACATCCCTGTCTGATATTCCAACACCTGAGGTTTGAAAAGTATTCATTTGTGCTGGTTCATTACTCGCCCACAGCACCAGGGAGCCCATGTAGCTGTATAAAGCTGTCAGCTCTAATAAAGTGGAACCATGTAGAGAGGATTAATTTCATGGTACAGCTCTTACCTCTGACCTGTGTGGAGATATATATACGAGGAACATGAGACATGGTTTTGGATGTGGACCAAGCAGTTTAGAGGGCGAGGGTTGCATGTTTAGGCCTTT